AAAAGTAATTTTTTGACAGGGTACCAGTTGGGTTTTTTTTTATTATAAACATCCATTTATCCATTTTCTGTCACGCCTATCCCAAATGGGGTCACGAGGGGTGCTGATGCCTAGCTCCAGTTGTCTACGGGCGAAAAAAAGGGGTACAACCTAGACAGGTCGCCAGTCCTTCACAGTTATCATAAACAGTTTTTGGAATAAAACAATTAACAAACTGTACGGTTGTATTTGAATAAATTCTAATTTATTATCTAGGTTATTTGCCTCCCATCAATAGAGGGCTCCTGCAAACATGGTATCGTTGGTGAAGGATTTTAGCTTGATAAAAAGCTGGATGTTTCCCCTTTCACTGAAATACACAACAAACTCAAAACTGGCGATTAAGCAGATATTTCAGAATCAGAAAAAGCAAACTAACCAAAGGGAGAAGTGGTTGATCTCTGGGCTTAAGTGTTAATAATTCCCATTAGTCCAAATAAAGCTTTACCGGTAATAAAGTGTAAAACATTGTTTGTCACCGTGCCTGAGGCATCAGTGTGATATTCCTATCTGGCAAAAACTGGCAGAAATCGTTTCATGGTCACACCTGGCTGTGAGCACATAACCTACCTCAGGAGTATGTCAAACCATCATACAGACCTATGCAATGGGATTTTAAACAATTAGGTGTAACTGTAGCCCAGGTAGTCACTTCCTGTATGTTTGGTCAATAGAGATATATAATCTTTCCTCGCTGTATCTTCAGATTGGTTTGAAAAAAATCTATGAATGGCTCATGTTCAAGCCTCTATGCTTCAGCTGGAGGGAATCCTCAGCTCTGAGACTGCTGCTATAAAGGTTTGACCTCTGACCTCGCTGAAAGAGGGAGGAGGGCGGGCTAAGTGAAAGGAGAATTTCCCCTTTGGGGCCAATAATGTGTCTGGGCATAAGCAGCATCACTGTACTTGACCGTTCTATAGAGCGCATTAACATCAACAAATCAAAATGTAAGTTAAGAGAATTTGTAAAACTGTTGGTTCAAAGCTGCCCTGTTTGGGGATTACATTTTTTTAAAACATGATAACGCCTTTTGGAACCTTTTTAAAAATGCTGGCACGTCCTTTTCAATTTGGTTTGTAGTTTATTCTTTCCTCGATTTTAAAATTGTGTAAAGTTGCTATTATTATACGTATAATCAGTAACAATATTAGGAAATCAATAATTTATTTTTTTTAAATGTTATCAGGTGAAACATGTTTATTGTTATTATCAGTACTTTCATTAATGTTCTATTATGTATCGCAGCATTGCTAGTTTTAGCCATTTCAACAATGTTGCAAAGTCCATTGCAATTTGTATATTATTAATCACTTATGTATTCATTTCAAATTTATATATGTTTATCTCTTTATTTATGTATAAACACAAATAATAAGTATATTTGAAAAATAACCTATGACAAAAAGTAACTTAATGTCCTACACACACACACACACACATACACACACACACACACACACACACACACACACACACACACACACACACACACACACACACACATATATATATATATATATATGTGAGTGTGTGTGTGTGTGTGTGTGTGTGTGTGTATGTTTTTTTATATATTGACATAATTCACAGTTGAATTTTCTTTAATAAATTTGATTGGCAATTTTTGCATAGGCAGGTTATTAATGTCAGTATTTGCTCATTCTTTTCTGTCAGTAATATTGTAAAAACTCATGCATGTGTAAAAAATAAAGAAAAAGAAACGCACAAAAGATATTTAGAAAATAATAACAACTGAAAAAAAAACATAAAACTTAAATTACACTGAAAAAAATAATGCAACCGTTTTTGGCATTTAATTAATTACATTTTGTTACTTTAATACATGTTTTTCATGTCCTACCCTGATAACGTGAAACAATTGTGTTAAAGTAATTAAATATGATTAAGTAAATGCCAAAAACGGTTGCATTATTTTTTTTCACTGTACTGGCCGGTTGTTGCCTTTTGGGCAGTAAGAGGATAATTATTTCTGAGCCATTTATTTTTATATCATAATGATTGTGTCACCAGAAGCTTAGTTTTTATCAAGATAAGCGGCGTGACTTTGTGAGCAAACACACCGCAGGAATTGCTTCTACCTTGGTTAGAATTGACAGGCGATTAAAGTGCTTGAAGACCTCAAGACTTGTTCCCTCATGTCCAAGTGTTTATTTGCCGCTCTTCGGGGTTAATTATTCCCATAAACCAGCTCTTGTGGGTTAAAACTGCCTTTGTTGTGCCCCTTTTCTTCAGCACAGACGTTTTTTTTTTTTTCTCTCCACCATCTTGCAGCCAAAACAACTTTTAACAGCCTTCTCTCTCCCCGGTGCCAGTTCCCATTTCAAATTAATGGGAACAAAAAGAGAGTGAGAGAGGAGACGAAAATCACAGCTACAGTTGGGAGGTCACGGAGTTGGCTGCTTTGGTGAGAGGCCAGATATTCCCTAAGTATTATATCTCCTCACAATCCGCTTTTACGGCCTTGTTTTCAATAGAAACCCTTGTTAATTAGAGACGCTTTGGGCAGCCTCGGTAATTGACTGGTGTGGGGCGCGAAGGAGACAGTGGAACATGTACACAGTCTTTGTGTAAACACTTCATAATCTCACCAGGCCTTCAGGGGAAACTATTAACGCACATGATGTGTTTGCTGTTGTCTTACCAAGAAAACTATCTGCCCATCTGCACAAATATGTCGGCTTGAGACGGGATTCACTATTTGTATGGTGAATAACAATTGTGCGTTGTTGGAGAAAAAGTTAACAGATGTCCAGCACTCCAGTTTTTTTTTTTTTTTTTATCTAAATGAGTCATCCTTTCTTAAAATAGGAATTGAGGAGGTAAGTGAGACACTTTGACAATGGAACAAGACAATTTACATTTAATATTTAATAAATTGTCTTATTTCAAGTGCATACTATCTGAGTATCTTATTTTGAGAGTAAAAACGCTCATTCCATTGGCAAATCATGTTATTTAACCAACTCAAATTAAGAGTAAATACACTTAATTTAAGAATTTTTTTTTTACTTATTTCTAGACTGTTTTTGCAGGTTACCTCCAGCTGTATGAAAAACTGCAGGAGGAAATATGCCTTAAATAAGACATCCTTAAAGTTAAAAAGTTTTATCCATGGCTTAATGCTTCAACAAAACTACAACAAAACAAACAAAGAAAAAAACTTCCAAACTGATGCCTCATATGTTGTGTAAATTATGAGTCTTGAAAGGGATGTCTACAAAAAGATATCATTTGGGAAAAGTTTAGTTTATATATAGTGTGTGTGAGTGCGTAAAATGCATTCAAATTGGGCCAGAGTAAAAAGGCATCCACGAAAATTTCTGTCTAAATCCATAAAAAAAAAAATAAAAATAATGAAACGCAAACCTACTTAATAATACGGATGTTTTTCCAAAAAGACGCCGGTTGTTTATTTTCTACAAAGAAATGTCTAAATAATTACTCAATAAGAGGTAGCTATATTTAAATGAATCAATTATTAATTATGAAAAATAATACGATTATTTAAAAATGTGGGGAAAAAAATCCAAAAATATGAATTGGCATTAAAAATGTAGCTACAAAGTAAAAAGACACAAAGATAGATCTACTGAAATCTTAAAGTGGGGAAAAGTTGGTTGACGTCATTCCAACGGGGAGCGATCTGACGTTTTTGCTGAGGCAAAAGTTTGATTTCGTCTCAAAAATGACAACTTTAAACTTTTTTCCCCAGTCTGCTAAACGTTACGAATAAATTGCTTGAAGAATGAATGTCAAAGATTACCAACTAAAAAATAAATCTGCAAAAAAATGTTTGACTGGTAATGGAAGACATTGCTTTGCGCCCCACAAGCATCTAGGGCTGCAGGCTGGTTGAGGAGCTGAAGGCTTTTCACAGCCGAAGCTGTTTAAACAAAGTGTCTTCTTTCAACGCCAGTTTCCACTTCTGTTTTCTTTCCATCGACAAAAAAAAGGCCCCAATCACGGAGCTTTTGTTCCCCTCAGCTGAGCGCGGAAAGATAAGGTGTCATCACTCCGACATCAAGGTTCTCCCTGTTTGGAAATGCGCGTCTGGATTTTGCCCTGGTTTGGTGGCCACATGCCTTCTGTTCCGGCCTCTTGACGCGTGTTGCTTTTGCTAAGTATTAGATGGAGAGTCTCTTTTTCTCTCTTCCGTATTTGTCATTTTAAGATGAATACTGCGATGAACCTTGACCTAAAGTTAATATGAAAAAAAAAAACAACAAAAAGAAATAAAAACCTCCAATATAATTGCTTATCCCTTAAAATGTTAAATACAATACAACAATGATACATTAATTAATTATCTATTAGATAGATAGATAGATAGATAGATAGATAGATAGATAGATAGATAGATAGATAGATAGATAGATAGATAGATAGATAGATAGATAGATAGANTAGATAGATAGATAGATAGATAGATAGATAGATAGATAGATAGATAGATAGATAGATAGATAGATAGATAGATAGATAGATAGATAGATCTATTGATTGAATTTTTGGTAATAAAGCAATACATTAATGTTGACTTTAAGCTTAAATAAATACTAATGGTCTAGGATCAAATAAATACAGCGATTTTTGTGCGTGGATTCCTTTTTGTTTTTTTATTGGAAACTTTATATGAAACTATATGAGTTGCTTCATTGTACCTCCGGATATCGCAGAGCTTACATGCAGTCTCTTTCCAAATAAAAATGTAAATACTACTTGTTGTCATTGACGTCATATAATAATGTCAAGAGGTTAAGCCTTCATGTCATCGCGGCTCTTATTAGACACGTGAAAATATCAGTCCAAACTCCTTTAAAAACAAAGAAATCGAATTACCAAAGAAAAACAAAAGCAAACAAACAGAAAGACTGCATATGGCTCAAAACCCCAATGTAAACATACAGGCAGGGGAAACCGAGTCTCCTACAATAACAACGGTACAGAATTAAGACACTTTATTCTTATTGTTTTCAACAATATAAGATAGTATGCAGTTACATTCAGAAATACATCCCTTGTTAGTTTTTCCCCCAAATCTATCAGCTCTTTCCTCAAGGGCGCTCAAGCCATTGGTGAGAACCTGATGCCTGCTTGATTAGTTTCTGTAAGTTAAGTGCTTTTTGGCCTACAAGCAAAAAAAATCCCTCAATCAAGAAGATTTTGAGATAAGAAGAGGTGTCTGGAAAAGTTTTTTTTTAATGTCAATGGCATACAGAAGATTTGTTACGGTGGCTGTGTTTATTTTATTTTTATTTTTTCTTTAGCAGAATTCCAGTCTTTCTTACCGCAAGTGCTTGAAGCTTCGCTCTTACCACCAATTCCCCAGGGGAAAAAAGTTTTTTTGTCTCCCTTCTTGTGTCCTTTTTTTTTTTTTTTTTTTTTTTCTAGGAGCCAAGGTCCACAAGGTTAGAAGACATAGAGTTCAGTATAGTGTCATGGTGCACAGAGTGGTGATGGTGCACAGAGTCTGCGCCACCAGGCACCGGGATCGCGCTGGGTCCCGGCGGGGGCGCAAGGCCGTGCAGGGACGGTAAGCCGGGGTTCGGGCCCAGAAGCAAAGCCGGGCTCGGTGACGTGTGATCCGGTGTCCCGGAAGGAGTTTTGTCATCGTCGGAGCTCCCCAAAAGAGTTTTGTTTCCGTTCATTGAAGAAGTTAGTGGGTTGTGACTGTTGCTGTTGGAGTTCTCGCTGTTTTCCCTGCGGAAAAAAGAAATAACTTTTAAATGTTTGCTTGGTGCAAAGTTATTCAACAAACACTTTACAGCACAGAAAAGTAATTAATTAAAGAAAGAAACAACTTACATAAAGTATATTTCTTATTATCTCTAAGAAATATACACATAGCCCAATTCAAATAATTTATAAGGAGTGTAAAATCGTTTTTATTGCAATTATTTTAGCTTAACATTTTAAATTTTAGTAATTGAAATCCTTGTTAAAATCTAATTAAATATTAATATTGAAAAATATCATACTGACAAATGTTATTAGAATGGACTTTTATTTTAATTATTTAGTTAAACATTATAAAATAATTGTTTGAAAAGTTAGACATTTTCGACATTTAAAAAATTCAAATTTCTTCTAAAAACATTTCTTCATTAATGTAATGTTTGATGGCAATATAATTATATAAACCGATTTGGGTATTTTTTTTAACACCCTTCCTCCAACTGAACTTAACTGAACGTATGACTGCTGTTAGTTCAGTCAACAGATACTCTACATTGTGTGCAATGTCTAGCAGAAAACTGGAAGACTGGTATGTTTACTTTATGTAGAACTATATATATTCTTAGTAAAAGGTTATTTACATTCAGAATTTTTGGTTAAAAGTTTCTAAGTTGAGCTATTTTAGTGAGGGCGAATTTGGTAGCAAGCTGCACCTTAATCCTGAGCCAGTTGTTGACAATAAAAAGCACATCTTAGCTGCGGCTGCAAGGGAAAGAGTGTATCTGCCCTCTTTTTAGAGTAAGTATAAATAATGCATTGACATTTCAGTAAAATTGCACCCTCAGCCAGTATAGCAAGCTCCACCTCTAAAACCCTGAGGAAATCAGTGCCAATGACCTTGATTGACAATTTGTAATTTTTTTTTAATTTTTTTTTTTTTTACAAATTTCAAATTTAGAAACGTTTTATTTCATTATAAATTTAGAGATATCATAAGTGCTAAAGTCAACTTGTAGTAGCCTATGTAATATTTTTTTTATCATTATTTATCTACAGGTAACGTTTGTTCCAATTAAATTAACATCTCTACAGCAATTATAGCTTAAATTCTAACAGTTTTTATTTTTGTCAGTGCAGATAGGGGATAGTTACTGATTTATAGCATATTTGCAACTTTTATGATTAGCTGTATGTATGCAGAAAGGGTAATTCAGATCAACTATTAATGCAAAAAAAAACAGCAATCCAGCCATGCGTGGCTGATAATTAAAGAGTCCATGAAATAATAAGACTCGGTTCACCACGGTGCTGCACGGACTTAAACAGTGACAGGCGACCATAAATCCGGTTCTGGGGGGCATAAATCAATAGAGATTTGGAAACGTTTGTAATTTAGGTTACAGGTGGCATGGTATGTGAGCGCTGGGCCCTTTCTCAGCACGAACACATGATTTACGTGGAGCTTTCAGCCCGAATTAGTGGCCAGAGGGTGAAAGAAGACACCAGCTGGGGCGCACACATGACTGAGGAACACCTCTCTGCAGACCTCAAGTGTAGAATAGGTCATACAAGAAACTGCTCAGAGAAAAAATAAATAAAAGAAAAACTCATGGGCTTATTCAATATAACTCTCTTGTGCATGTTGTCAGAAAACCTACTGGTGTTCATCCTGTGATACTTTTTAGAGTATAAAACACATTTTTTTTTTTTTTTTTTTTGCTTGTTTTGTTTCAGATGTTGATATGAAAGCCAAACCTTGTGTGATGAGTGTAATTACCACTCCATAAGAGAGGAGGTAAACGCACACTTTTGATGTCCTTGTAATTTACCTAACAGCAAGCCTTTTAATTTCCTGCTTTTCAACTCTTGCTCTCAACCCGCACACTTTCCATAAACACACAAGCATGGGAGTTAAAGCCAGACTGTTTTACTGTGTTAAAATAATAAATGTAGTAAAATATAAAAGTAAAAGAAGGGACCTTTTTATATACTTCAGAGGTAGTTCGGTGATTGTTTAGTACTCCATAAGTGCGCATCAGGGTTATTGGGGCTCAGAGTTGGCACCATTTTGTTTATAATTGCTTTAATTAAAGATGCTTCCTCCTACCTCTCCTTCGCCTCCGCTGCTCTGTCTCTTTGCCGCCGGTTCTTGAACCAGTTGCTGACCTGTGTGGTGGTGAGTCCCGTGGCCTCGGCCAGCTCCCTCTTTTCCCGTGGGGACGGATACGGGTTGTGGGTGTACCACTCTCTCAAGACGCTCCGGCTTTTCTCTTTGAAGCAGTAGCTGGTCTCCTCTCCGTCCCAGATGGAGCGGGGCAGGGGGAACTTTCTCCGGACTCGATACTTCCCCACGGCCCCCAGCGGGCGGCCCCGCAGCTTCTCCGCCTCGATGTAGTGCGCCTTGAGCCACAGCTGCTGCAGCTTTGGGTGGTTGTGCGGAGAGAACTGGTGGCTCTCCAGGATCTTGTAGAGCTCTCGGAAGTTGCCCCGATGGAAGGCGACCACGGCTTTCGCCTTGAGGACGCTCTCGTTCTTATGGAGGTGCTCGCAGGCCGGTAGGGACCAGAGGAAGCGCCCCAGCCGCTCGATGTTCCCCCCTTGCTGGAGGACTTCGCAGACGCACGCAACTTGCTCCTGCGTGAAACCAAACGTCGGGAGCATGGACATGGCGACAACGCAAACCAGTGCAGATTAGATTGTGCCTCACTTCCAAGTCTCTTCTCTCAGTCTCTGATTAAAACCAAAGCGCATTAAGTCCACAAGTGTAAAAAAAAAAAGGTCCCAGCAGAGCAGCGAGTGGGAGCTGATCATAAAGTAAGGAACATCCAGCTCAGTGTCCTTTTAGCCATGCAGAACCCCGGGCGACAATTCCTCATGAAGTTATGGAGAAAGACACAACTGTGCAGCTCTTTCCTCCGACCGTCTCCACCTTTTCTGCGCTGCTTCCACACAAACTACTCCCGGAGAGCAGACTCGCTGGCTCGTTTTAATAATATTATTCTAAGCTGGCAAGACAAGCGATTATATGAACTCTGATTGGTCGGTTATCTGACCCGGGGATGGCGAGGATAAGACAATAGCCTCAGTCAAATTATTTGCCATGGTTACGCTGTCACTCAGTGTAACCCGATCTGCTTTGAGGTGGCTCCTTGGCGAAGTCGAGCCGATTGTTCTCTGCTTGTCCAGCCCGCCCTCCCAATAGAAATATTGCTCAGATTTTTTTCCCCTCTTAAACGTTTTATTACTCTTCGCTTCGCTTTGACAGACACCTCGGGCAGCCAAAGAGCACGCTCTATGAGGAGGCGCGGGGGAAGGAGAACTGTGCTGCTCCTGAGACTGAAGAAAGGATGGCGCCAGAGCGCAGGAGCCCAAAGGAGCAGCGCGTTCTCCTCATGCACCTGGAGGCGCTCAGAAATCATCCAAAGATCCGCCACTCTAAGGAAAAAACAAGTCTGCTTCCTTATCGATTTGAAGAAATGGTTGAAAAAATAATATGTACATCTTGTTGCTCAGTAAAACAATAAAAACAAGAGAATAACCTGTCTGTCTGCCTGCATGCTAATGTGGCAAAAGAAAAAAAAATCAATAGCTAAAATATATTTTTCTACAATATTTAAAAAATATATATATATATATTTTCAAAGCTACTTCAATCCACGTGACAACAGAGACACTGGATATTTAAATTAAGGGTGTATCATGGAGAGCAAGCAGCAGCTGCTTGAAAAATCTGGAGGTGTGCACCCGCTGGTCCTGATGGAGAAAGCAGCTCCAGTGAGCTGCAGACTCTGCAAAAGGAGAAAACTGACAGGATAAAAGCTGAGAGGAGAAAAACGACATCTGTCAACGGTGAAAAACGTTTGTATGGCTATAAAACAGAGATTAGGAAGTCACGAGTAATTGAAAGCAGGATCCTGAGGAACGTTGCAGGGTAAGATCTGATTACTTTCTACTACTTTTGCAACAGGGGTTCAAATAATAAAATGACGAGTATAAATATTGATAATGACAATAAAAAAAGATTAAGTTTTAGAAAATGCAACTTAGAGAGACAGGTTAGATATAAAAGAGAATGAAAAGGAAAAAAAGGGAAAACTTGGTTTACACTATAACTCAGATGGGCCTATAGCAGGAGCCTTTAACACACCAGGCGGAATTTCAGGAGCGTTATTGACTGTGGGGCCAAAGATTGACCCGCTGCTAGATTTGTATGGTCTAACCTTGGAACCTGTGTTTTACAGTTACTATTGTCAGCAACACAGGCGGGCGGTGTCACGTCACGGTTCCTCACCAAACGCACACTGACGCGCGCTCTAAACGCGCATTTCCAACACAGTCTCACTCCCAACTCGTCACATATTGACTGACCTCTGCAGGCACTGGCCAAAGGAATTCACAGACCGATACGAACTTCTGCTGCTGATAAATGCATACAGTTTCAAACAAATAATAGCTTTATCTATTTATTTATTTATTTGTTTATTTATTTATGTATTCATGTATTTATTTATTTGTTTATTTCTTTAATTTGGTGTGAAAAATGTATTTTTAAATTAACGTTAAGTAGGACAAAAACCTTGAAAACCATATTTCTTCTTGTTTTATTTTTTTTTTAAGAATCATGTTGTTGTCCAGGTAGTCTAACACATTAATATTTCTCCTTCGGTAAGGACCCAACAGGACGTGGCATTTAACTGTAATGCTAAAAAAAAAAAAAAAAAAAAAAAAGATTTCGAGCGCAATTAGGAAACGCATTTATTACCTGTGACGAATAGTAATATAAGGAGAGCCTGATTCTTGCTTGCGCCTAAACTGTCTTCTCCCTCTGTTTAATAAATTGTCTTGGTTTTCGCCTAAAGCGCAGTTCAAGGGAATTAGGCTGATTAATGGGAATCGCCAAGGGACCATGGGTCGCATGAAAGAGATAGTGGATGTCTAAAAAATAAAAAATAAAAATAAAAAGCGCGGAGACTAATTTAATTTCTCTACATAATGTTTTTTAAATAAATAAAAAAGGCCTAAATAAATAAAGTAAGCCTATTTGGAACAATTAATGTAATTATTTCCCTATTATTATATTATAATTATTACTATTATTATTTTTGTTGTTACCTTTCTATGCGTAGTGGACAGACCGACTGACCCCACTGATACGATCCAAAACATCGAAAAGACTTTCCCACTGATCAAGGAGTAACTGAAATTCACACTCTGCGCTCTAACACTTGCGTGCATCAATCATATGTTGCAAACTGTTTAAATGCGCCATTCAGATGATACATTTATATCTCATCCGCAGGGATGTGTTGCCTCCATCAATAAAACTGCGTTTCTGTTGAGAATGTAAGCAGAGGAGTCTCGCGTTTCATTTCATTTTTCTTATTTTTGTTGAACAACACTCATGTGAGAACATTCAAATAGCACATTCATTTCACCCAGCTTTCTAAGGTGATTTTTTTTTTGTGCAGAAATATGAAATTATTATAAAGTTTATTAGACATGTTTGATATTTAACAAATTCAGCTTAGTCGGATCCTTGTCAACCAATACGTTCCCAAGCAAGAACACGTCTTAAAGGGTATTATATAAGGCGACACATATATATATGTGAATAAGTGTGTTGGGTTGTGCATATAGATAACTAACAGTGGGTGTGAGTAGACCAGCAGGGACAGGGGTCCTGTGTCTGTCCCCTGACAGTGTTTGTAAACCTCTTGTTTCCACAGATCAGCCTGATCAGAGGGCTCTGGCTCTGAAACGGTAACTACCACAGCCGCTGATGAATGAAGATCACGTTTCCCCTAATAGCCAACCCCCTTTATTTTCACAACCTCCCACCGCTCATTTCAGCTACGCTGAACCACGTCCTCCACTAATTGAGCTGATTGTTGCAAGATGTGCATGTTTTGTTGTGTGTGCTTCACATAGATTAAGTGTTGATTCAGGCCTGTGAGAGTCTGATTTGACCATTAGACCATAAAAATAAGGCAACTCATATTTAAGTTGATTACTATCATTTTTTTTTTTTTTTTTTTTGGGGGGGGGGGGGGGGGGGGGGGGGGGGGGGGTGGGGGGGGGGGGGGGGGGGGGGGGGGGGTATGTTTTGCAGGGATTGGTAAAGCCTGGTGTTTTGTGGATGCTGGTAGGGGAAGGTATCAATGAGGATCTATTCAGTAATTGGCTGTTTACATCTATCTTGTTACCCCAGAGGCCAGGTAAAGATTTCAGCAAACCGCAAAGCTAAGCAGTCATGAAGGGACAGAGTACAGAGGTGGGCATGGTGCGCCTGTGTGAGGGTTTATTTCATAAAGGTTATGACTGGACGGCAGGTTCATCAGATTGGGGGGTTCAGATTCCTGCTTTGCAATTTAAAAGCATTTAAAAGGTGAGAAAAGATCACAATCGCCTGATGAGGACCATAGAACATAAACAACCACAGAAACCAGGGCTGTATCTAGATTTTTCTAAGTCAGGAGCCATATAGGGGGCAAGTTTAGTTTTCTTTCTGTAGTTCATGTTGTCATATTGAATTATAGTGTAACAAAAACTAGCAAAACAAAATAATCAGCCGTTATTTAAAAAATACTATATAAACTTACCAAATGTATATTTTTTTCAGTTGCACATTAAATTTTGGTACACTATCATTATTGGTGTTAAAACATTTTTTTTAGTACTGATGGTATTAAAATCAATGAGAAAAAGCATGTATTAGTTTTCTTTAAGAACCCACCAGAAAGTATTCACCAACCCACTCACTCCACGGTCTTGTTGTGGACAAACTAAATCAGGAGCAAACTGCAACAAGTGTCTGTTTTTCTACCAGGGCTGGCAATCGGGGCTGATGAGTAGCTGTGTCTGTCTTTGAGTGTTTACAGGGAGCAGGGAAAAGGGGTGGCAGGGTGGTGAGTGAGAGAAAAAGAGAGAGCATGGTGCTTGCTGCTCGCCTTAATTTATTCGATCAATCACTCCATTTGATTCTTGTTTATTTTCAGGAGTCGCACGGTCATTTCAGCTGCACACTGAGCCCTTTATGGACTGCCAAGGCGTTTCCCCCCTCCACCATGGAGACTGTATAGCATGCATTAGGCCGTAATTTAGAAAGAAGAGTGGTTCCAGCACTTCTCAGGTATTTCACGGTTCCTAACCTTTATAGTGAAATGGCCTGAGTCCTGTCTCTTGTCAAACTAATGTGCAGACATGCAGGTCAAAACTCTGATGTTCATCAGCACAGTGGGTCTGCAAAAATTACTTCAAATACCCCTAACTTCGAAATTACAATAATATCTAATATTTTGCATCTAGAATATAGAGAAAATAACAGATCCTTAAAATGCATTTTAATGTATTTTGCACAAGATGAAAAGTACATTTATTGTGAATTAAGTTGTTTTGTTGCCTGAAACATGCTTGTTTTTAATACATCTAAATATTCTAAGGATAGAATTGTTATGGATACAAAGCAATTAGATAAATGCCCTGATTTACCAGTAAACTACAAGCATAGATGGAGGTTAACTTGCTTCTGCTAATTTTGTTATGGCTTGTGAGTAAGAAACTGTCATGGGACCAATAGTCAAGATCAGATAAACCTCGGTCTGCTCTGCATCAAAGTGGCACAAAGGCAAGATGTATAACTAGATCATGATTACCAATTACAGTTCAAACAGCAAACAGATCAAGAAGTCTAAATTTCAGGATTCCATTTTTATTCAGTATTATGTTAAGTCAAATTCAAGAAATCTACAAGCATAAACCATAATTGTTTCTAATTGCTTTCACATTAGATTTTTTCATATTGTTCTGCAACATTCTTTATTTTTTTTTGCAACATTTATTTATATTTTTGTTTTTCTTATGCGACATCCTAACCCTCACACATTGATGGGCAATGAAAAAAAAACTAATTTAAAGTAATTAGCAACATGCTAATACTTGAATTGTTATTAATTTCTGTATGCAAGCTTTTTACAACCCGTTGCGGTTTTACATGAAACACAAGACCTGACCCTGTGTCAGTGGCCATATGGGCTGTAAATACCTCTCTGATAGAGTCAGTGGTTGAGCTGATACTGTAAAAGAGTTTTGTGATACATCACATGATGGTGTTTTAAGTGCAAGTAGACAATGAGCAAGTCCTTACCTCTTGGTTTTAAGGGATTGCCTGTTCTCAGTGGTCTAAAGAAAATACAGAAGCAAGTATAAATGTTTTAAAAGTGTTGCGCAAATTAGCATATATGAACTGTTAAAGGATTCACAAAATTTATGAAATGGTATTAAAACATTTTATTAAATTGATAACATTGTTTAGCGTCGCTCAGAGGCCATGCCTCTTTTAATGGCTGAAGAGTATTAAAGATGGTGCTTGGAACGACTTTAGTACTGCTCAGAAAAAATGTCGGCACAAGTTGAATGCAACAGAGCTGCAAAACATCATCCCCCAAAAGACACCCAACCATAAAAATGTTTTATGGATCATACATATCTGAAAGAAAAAATGTGGCGACAACATTGAGAAATCAGATTATACACCAAACCAAAAGAGAGAAAATCAGGCACATATTCTGGTGGCACCTTTCATCTATTGACCTGTTAGCCAATCAATATAGCATTAAACAAACTACAAATATTCATACCAGCTTATAACACTGTACTCCTCTGATCTGAAGGTGTTATTTAAAGAAGAGTTTTAACATATTTAATGGAAAAGATTGAATGAGATCCAAATCTTTAGAAGTGAAATTACATTTCTACAATGTTTCATATCTGAGGCAGCCATGTTGGGTTTGAGGCTGATGTTGGAAGTTATATGAGGTAGTTTCAGGTTTCATCTAAATCTAAATTTTTTTTTTTTTTAGGGTGTGTCCCATTACTGGCCCTGAATCCATTTATTCGGACAGGAGAGGGGTGAGAAAGCTGGAAAGCATGCAGGAAACGGATGTAAGTCAGGAGCTAAACTGCAGACTTCTGTGTCGAGGACCCCTAGCCTGTCTTTTACGGTTCTGGACATCTTCTTCATATTCATCTTCTTAAACAAAAATGAAAACATAATCATAATACATCCTTCAGCCTATCAACTATGACTCTCATGTCACAAAAACTAGTGTTATCTTTCATTGTGGAAAACATTTTCCAGTTTAAACTGTTGGGCCATAAGAGAATCCATGTGCAGAAACAACGAATGAAAACAATGTACCAGTCTATGAAGCTCATCTGCTCTGCAGTAATGTCATACATAAAAACAACAAAAAAACAGGTATAAACATGGTTAAGGGTTAATTTTTCTATGCTTGGAATTTTCTCCATCAAAGCATCTGGATTCTGTATTAAAACAAACAACAAAAAAGGAATCAAACCATCTAAATCTTAACCATTTAAAATACCCCCCCCCCCCAAGAAAAAAAGATACAAGTACTGCTACAGAAGTTTTTTTTTTTTTTTTTTTTTTTACAAATTAATATTAGTTTCAATTCAAAAATACTTATTAGCATCAAAGAGAAATTAATTGTTGTAACTCAAATAGTACCAAATTTTTCAACCAGTGAGAGAGGATACCATTAAATTTTGATTTATCTAACATTATTATTTTACCTCAGAATATTTAAAGGTTTTCTGCTTCTCCTCTCATATTTTGATTTTGGATCAACACTTTACATTTAGAGGAACAATTATCCAACCTCTTCTGTTAAGCCTTTTAGCAAACCCATTAATAACTCTCTGCCTGTAAATTACTTCTGTTGCATTAAAGAAAATCATCCATCATCATATAGTTGTGCTAAGCTCATTCTCCAACATCAAGTGATATGCTTTGAAGATTGAGGGGAATGTTTGCTTTGTGAATTCATGTGACCCCGAGCATCTTTTTATGTGGAAGCCTTATATTTCATGATGGCTTTTTAATTCTGCCTGCAGGATATGTTAAATGCCTGCAAACCACCAAGTACTTTGTTCAGGAAACTAACAATTATTCCCATACTGAGAACATTGCAGCCATAGAAATAAGAAGAAAAACCTGGATTTAAATCCAAGAGTTCACTCAATGCGCTTTAAATTGATCTTTCAAGTTGAGCCCCAAACTGTGCAGCGATATTAATATATTCCAATATATTAGTTACATTCCTCATTGTACATAATTAAGATTAAGAATGTAGGCGTTTCCTTAGCTGCACTCCAACCTAAATGGAAATATGCACATCTGTCCTAGGTTTCATTTTTGTGCTGCACAATTCTGCAATTTCTAGACTCGCATTTATGGTTTTAACATAGATTAAAAAAAAAATCTATAAATTCTTAACATTTAAAACAAATATTTACTTTGTTGGATTTTGTTGTTTTTCTGTCCCTTTTATAATAGGCACAACTTGATACATTTTGAATTGAATGAATAAATTCAATAGATGGGCAAAGGTCTTTTTAACTTTTAAGTTAACTTAAGAAGTGTTTCTAATCCCCAAAGGGTAATTTGTTGTCCAATCAGTTTATAGATCTATAAAAACTCATAGGAATTTGAAATGTATAAAAAAAAAAAAAATAGACAGATTCAAGATGATAAGATGGTATATTTTATGTAAATAAGTTTATTTTTATGCTTTAGGTAACAGAATAAAATAGAAATTATATACCCTCATAGTTGCATTTTTTCTTTTTTTTATCCCTTTTTAGACCTAAAGAATGAAAAAAAAGCAAAGTCCATTGGTTTTCAGAGACTTTTTGAGACTCATTTGGAGCACCCTCTATACATAATACTAATGTTTTGTGAAATAAATGTTTGATGAAATAACAGGACGTACAGAGGATATTAATGGACCACAAAGACTCATAGAAAAAGGTGATGACTGCTGAGTCAGTTAAAAGCTCATCAAAGTTTCTCATATCTGTTCCTCAGTACAACTTGATCATTAACAAGACTTCACAAACAAACCAGGAAGAAACTGAATATGTGGATTACCCTCTAACCTATAAAACTAGTCAAAAAACTGTACAATTATAATAGAAAAGAATAACAGAGCAGCAGATGAAATTGTAATAAAACTTAATACAAATAACTGATTAATCACATTTGTTTGGGTTCCTATTTCCAATAAATTGTCTAGAGGTGGTCTTACAACTAAATAGCAATTTGTATTGGTTCATCAATTGTGAAAGGGAAGGACAAAGACAAATGGCTCTACAAGGTTTTTATAAGTTAAAATTTGAAGATGTTGCCTCCACTCCTATGATACCCCTTTATGAACAGCCTGCAACCAATTGCTGGTCAGGTAACATAATTACTACATATAGTTCTTCTGCGTGTAAATTTTGAATCCTGTTAAACATAACATCCGCATCATGCATGACTTTGGTCGGGACATGATAATGTATACTTGCTTTTCTTCAGCAGGGACTGAGAAGCAGGGAAACAGTCCAGTAGGAACATTCGTCAGACCCAACAAGACTAGTTAAAGAATGAGGTGAGCCTTCAAGAACCTTAGATATACAGTCAGACCTACAAAATAATAGATTACATATATTTGTAGTAAAAGGGGTCTAGTAAAATTCCAGCCCTAAATCCAAGGATAGTCTGACTGAGTCTGATATTACTTTTGAAGAACAAAAATTGGCAAACCAATCATAGATATGAAAGAGGTTGCCCTACAAAGTGTGTGACCACACTTGGATAAAGCAATTTTGCTTAGATTTACCAATATATTGGTCAGAAACAGACCAATTAAACGGTTTGGATCAAGCTATCTAATTGATTAACCAAACAACCAAAAAAAAATTCTAACTAATGGTTAATTAAATTGACTTTGGCTGTAGTAAAGTTTAGTTTGTAGTAGTTATGGGACAAGAGAACAATTACAATGATGTGCAGTGTGCAAATCTTTGAGATATCCCTGGTTGTAACATTATGTAATTAGAAATACCTGCATTAAAATCCAATCACTGTGGGGTGACAGCAGCGTTGGATGCAGGAGTCTTCCCTGCAAATGAAGGGTTGTTGGTTGAAGCCCCAGCTCTAGCTTTCAATGTCATTAAACAAATTAACCAATATACTGGTCAAAGTCACCACTTTGTATTGATTAGCCAATATAGAATGATTAAAAAACACTACCATATCAGATTGGTTGTTTTCAGAGGAGGGAGATGTAGAGCCATCAGGTCATCTCTATGTCATTTATTTGTTGTGCCCAGCCACTGAACCAGGTGAGTCCAATCTGCACAATTTAGTTCTTTGTGCAGATTGGACTCATCTGACATAGACATAGAGATGGCTTGGTGTCTCCACATCTTCGTCCTCTGGTTGTTTTAACCAAAAGATTGGAAACAGAACTACCAATTAGATTGGTCAAATTCAACCTTTTTTTTTTAAGCTGTATTGACCAATTAGTGTTTAGGGTATACTTTGTGTTTATATGTCACATAAAATCCCAACAGACCAAGGTTCTAACAAGACATATTGTAAAAAGTTTAACGGCTACAAATACTTCTACAAGGCATTGTATGTGCGTGAGAGTGCAGCGTTTTCCCCTCCAGATTCTTATAAAGTTCCAGATGAGCTGGTAATGATACAGCTCAAGCAGTCTCAAAATTCTGCGCCAGCTCAGGAGGTCATCTCCAGAGAAGAAGTGCCTGCCGGAGGACAGAGAGATGATGTGCTTCTGCACAAGCAAGAGGGGATTACCGTCAATTGCTCCCAATTTGCAATGATACCCTCAGCGGGCCACCCACACATGTGCTGAGAGACAAGTGATAAATTGCTACATATGTCCATTCCGCTGTGGCGGCTCCTGATACCAGCACAGAGCCCTCAATGAGCTCCAGTTGGGCAGCTTTAACTGTTAGAGGCATTGAGAATCTTAAATGTTGAATGGGGCTAAGACAGAAAAACACAGAGCAATTTCAGGGGCTTATTATGTCAATAGTTTTGTAAACATCTGCCTCTGAATCACTAGCTTCTCCGTCGCCAACAAAAACATCATAACTGTTGGTGTATAAAAACGTGACATTTGATCAATCTAATGTGATGCACCAATAATTGTATGTTACACAACGTCTCCTTTTATAACAACATAATGCGCAGTCGCACTGAATCTACTCCAGAAAAGCAGAAGAATGTTTATCAGTTCAAACTGAATACAACGTATCAGATTTTGAAACCAAAGCCTTTAGATTGCTTTCATATTTGGATCTAGTGTAATGAGCTCTGATCATATCATACTTCTGCCAAAGAGGCGAGCAGATGGCTAATCAAAGCCTGGTATCTAATCAGAGGAGTCAATCTAATGAGAGAGTAATTTCATAAGAGGTCTTTGTCCCTGAATATTCAGGGAGCAGCTAAGGGGAGATGGGAGCTATTTATCATCCGTGCAGATTGAGAAGAGGCCCTTATAAACCACACATTTGTTTCCTGCCTGTGTGTGTCATGGTATGGCAGAATGCGACGGCTGCAGTGGTACAGTGGGCCTGTGTGTGTGTGTGTGTGTGGGGACGGGAGACTAACATGCTTGGAGTGTGTGTGGGTGGAAAAGCAGCTGCATAGCGCTCCTCTGGTGTGTGTTGTAGCCTTTTAGTCAGGCAAATAGATGGGGCATTAGTGTAGAATTTACACCTTCAGGTCAGGGCAACAAATACCATTTCACCATTTACAGTGTAGCTGGAGGGTTAGCATGTGTCCACATCTACTCTTACAAACCCACACAGAACTTTAGAGCTACACATTCTTTTTTTTTTTTTTTTTCTTTATCCTCTTGGTGAAAAAAGAGACATGACGACCCAAAGATGACATTTGGCTGTAAAACCCTAGGCCTGTTCCTCTGTGTGCACCACATGGAGACATCAATCTGTGCAACATCTTATTTACAGCACAGAAAGACAAAAAATATGAGGAGACATGAAGGCAGGATCTTCTTTTAGCCAACTTTAAAACTCTGGGCTGTTTATCAGGTTAGATCTCAGTTTTATTGTTTCCTAAAGCCTGACACTGCATCTCTGGTTTAGGGAAGAGATGAAAATGACACAAGCTAACTTACCGACTGCTGTGGATCCATGGGCTCAGTTTTGTGCTTTGGTTGACAGAGGGGGAAGGCAGGGGCTGTCGGAGCAAGAACCGTATTTACAGCAGGCAGCATAATATTATCAATAAAAGCCAGGAAGACAGCAGCTCGCCATAACTCAAAACATGCAGGGAGCGGCACAGCTGGTGAGGATTCAGCTTCCACTGAAGCAACAGTGGAGACAAACAGAAAAGTTGCTACAAGGAACAAAAAATATTATGAAGGTAAAAAGGCAAACAGAGGCAAATGGAAATGAGGATGGTTTTATTATTTTTATTATCAAAACAAGAAAATAACCAAAAAATCCTTCAGCATCCAAACAT